CTGTTATAACCTTAGAAGTGAAAGCATCGTTATTTTTGAGAAATTAAGATTGAATAATTGATAGAGAAATTAGTAGAAGAAAAAAGATAAACCGATAAGCTATGAAGTTTTATTGTTTAATCGAGACAATAAGCCATATTATAAAGTTTAAACTACAACATTATAATACCATTACCAGTTTACACTGTTGACACACACATGTATTACATTTGTCAATATTCCGCTGATCATAGTTTTGACATAGACGGTCTTGTTAGTTTAGCTAGTGGTACTATTAGACATTACTATTGATCCTTTTCCGATGCCATTAATGGTGGTAGAAGAGGTAGTGAACTACATGATGGAAGTAGCCACTCGAGTCAAACCAAGATCGTATTGAGATCTCTGAATTACAAGTGCACAGTGCATGCTGGTTTTGTCTAAAGAATCATTTTAACAAGAGAAAATATACAAAGCAGACCATTGAGGAAGCCAAAGACGTTCCATCTCACCAATCCTTTTAAGTCATATGAAGCCGAATGCTTGAAAAAAAAATGTTTCACATGATTATCATCTGATCACACACAGAACACAAGCATAATCCAGATCAAATCCAAAAACACTCGATGAGAATCAAGAAAGAGAGCGACTTTACGCATACTCAAAGTGCAACTTCGCCCGCGCCTAAGACTTTTCACGTTAAAGCTCTTTTTATTTTCATTAAACATATGAATAAGCGTAAACAAGTTGCAAGAGGCTTGGTCAATGACCCCATAAGAGCCTCTCTGTCCCACCTAAACTCACCTAAAGCTGATAAAGACAGTAGTTTGAGAAATCAGGCTGCTTTGTAACGACTCTTTAAGCATATTCAGTGTAACCTGATTAATGTCAGGCACTAATCCTAACTTCAATGTTTAGTTTAATCAATGATTATACGCATGCGTTTCTCCTCCCAGCCGTTGAACTTAATGCTTTGAAAATAAATAATCAAATTTATGTAAAGTTACACGCGGATTAGGTGTCCAAAATGTTATCTTTTAAATATTATAATCATCATCACATTGCAAACCCAGCGTAACTTTTTTCCTACACTATTTTGCGCCTTACACATCTCCTTGTATAAGGAACTACCACATGAAAATAACACCAGAGGAGAATCTTTAGCAGTACAAAACAAAACATAAACAATATGTCTGAGTTTCTCCCGGAAGTGTTAGTCGTTGAGATACTCGCAAGGCTATCGATGAAGGATCTGAGTCGATTCAGATGCGTCTGCAAGACATGGAGAGATCTTATCAACCACCGTGGCTTCGCCGAAAGGTACCGAGAGATTTCTCAAGTGAGGTTCGTATCGTTTTACCACAAGGGTTTGTACTTGCTTGACGTTGTAGGCAAGAATGTAGTGATCAAAAACCCACATAAGCTTGACTTCCCTTTGGATGAGGCCATCATCGATGAGTCCACATGTGTCCTTCATTGTCATGGGACGCTATGTGTGGCCGTAAAGAATCACACATTAACCGTTTGGAATCCATATTCGAAACAATTCAAGACCATACCAAATCCCGGTATATATCGTGATTCAAACATCCTTGGTTTCGGTTATGATCCGGTTTCCCAAGATTACAAACTAGTAACGTTCATCGACGAGCTTGTTTCCTCCACTGCGCATGTTTTCGAATTTAGAACCGGTTCTTGGAGAGAGGGCGTACCGGTTCCTTATCCTGATTGGCATTACAGAGAGAGAGTAGGTACCTTCTTGGATCAATATATCTATTGGATTGCGTACCGGTCTAGTGTCGACCGGTTCATCCTATGCTTTAATCTCTCAACCTATGAATACCGGAAATTAGCTCTCCCGGTTTACAACCAAGTTGTCACATGTTCTTGGTTAGGCGTTACAAGCCAAAAGCTTTGCGTTATAGAGTACGTACCGTGGGAGAAGGAGTTTTGGGTTTCGGTTATGGAGAAAACCGGATCATGGAACAAAATTATAAGCCTTTCAGTGTCAGACTTTATCGATGTACTAGATGATAAATATGATTATCAAGTCGAGTTCGTGTCGTTTACGAAAAATAATGATGTGGTCGTAACGTTCACTGGGTATTACGATGGTGTCGAGAGGGAAGTTAGAGAACGTGAGAAGAAGAAAATGTTGCTATTCAAAACCGGTGATAGTACATTTGAACAAGTCCGGTTATGTAACTCTTTAGTTGGGTTTCGGTTTCTTACTGAATATGTGGAGACTCCTGTAATTATTGATCGTATATTTATTTGAGCCAAGAAATGAGCATTAGCTTTGTTTTAATGAGAATATAGACTTGACCATTAGGTCTGTGTTATACGTCTATTTAATGTACAGGTTTTCTCGAAATGGTTAGTCCTATTTAATGATCCACATGCAAGAACCGGTTTCAATTGAGTGCGCACAAGTCAATTTTCATGACACAGTAACTTGCAAAGATAAAATATTTCCAACAGTTGTCAACGAATTGAGATTTATTATCAAAGAAAAATCAAAATTGATGTTAATTTTCAAAACTAATAGAGGTCTTAAACCGGTTCCCGTTTGTATTTAACAATAAGGCTATATCAAAACCGAAGGAACGTGTCAAGTATCTACTTGAGCTGGTTTTAATTTGAAAAATAGGCAACGTCTGTCCGGTCCCTTCCGTACCAATATGTTGTCTCTAAACCGATCTGGAACAATACCTTTAAACCGGTAAAATGTTAAGCAAGCCTGAATAGAGACAATGAATGTGTTTTCTTGGTTCATGATTAAAGGAGACAGCCAATGGTTGAAATCAGAAGGCATAGCAATTAGCAAGTAGCCTTATCTTACTAGATTCCACGTGACATTTCCTGATTGGTGTAAGCAAATCTTCAGTTTGCCACGTGTCAGAAGCAGATCACCTATCTTGACCAAGTATATCTTAAACAATTTACAAATCTACAACCGTTAGCCACAAAAAGATAGTGATCAAAGGAAGCCCATGGCGTCACTTTCTACCGTAAAACCATCTGCCGCCATAAAGGGAGTCGGTGGCAGCTCACTCTCCGGAGCCAAGCTCTCCTTCAAGCCTTCCCGCCTAAGCATCAAACCCAAATCCATTCGGTAACAGTTATCTATTAATTTAGGTTAAAATGCTACAAACTACACTATAAATTTGGAATTCAAATTTCATAGTTCATAAATTAATATAAACTCACTAAAATATAAGATAAATAGTTATGAGAATGCTAAAGAAATATATTATTTTGGCATTTACATCTCTTGTAATCAAATAGCTTGAGGTTGTTCTTCATCTTTACTAGGTCTGGTGCTGTGGTGGCCAAGTATGGAGACAAGAGTGTCTACTTTGACTTAGAAGATTTGGGAAACACAACAGGTCAATGGGATCTATACGGCTCTGATGCTCCTTCTCCTTACAACCCTCTTCAGGTTTTATTCATCTCAATAACATATATATAGTTTTTCTACTTAAAATAGCATTGTGAAAGCTTCTCTTCTTCTTTGCTTACTTGTAGAGCAAGTTCTTTGAGACCTTTGCTGCACCATTCACAAAGAGAGGATTGCTCCTCAAGTTCTTGATTCTTGGAGGAGGCTCTTTGCTTACTTATGTCAGTGCTTCATCCACCGGTGATGTTCTTCCTATAAAGAGAGGTCCTCAGGAGAAGCCTAAGCTTGGTCCCCGCGGCAAGCTCTGATTTAGATTCATGCATGTTTGTTACCTTCTTTACCTCCTTCTCAATACTGCAAACTACTTAATATGTATATTATGTTTCTCTATTACATTTGAAACGATTCTCCTTCCATAATTTTACAAAAGAAAACCTTTTCAAGAATATTTCCCTACGGGTACTTCTTGTGGTTCCAAGAGACTCAAGATAAGAAGTAGTCTTTCTTGTTTTTAGCCATGATCATCCTTGCCACTCTGGTCAACAGTTTCTTGCCTGAATCGTTGAATGGCACATCATTCTTTTATTTCTTCGGATGTTCTTGTTCATGGCCTTCGATATTACATAGCATCGCCTTTGACAGTGAGATGAGAGCCTTTTGCTTTTTCAGTCTCTCCTCTAAAAAGAAAAAAGTTTAATTCTTTTTCCGTATTCTAATATCTGTTTCGAAGCATATCTCTCCCATTCTGTAAAAACAAAATACGAGGGCATTGATAAGGATATGAAATCAAGAGGGATCCATAGATGATGATTCGCGATGATGTCTTGATTGATGTAGCAGATGGATTACATCCTTCCACAAAACCCATCAAATAAAATATTTGGTCCATCAAGTCGGCTTGGACCGACACAGCTCAGTTAGGTCAAGTAAAGCTCAGACTTCCAGCCGATTCTTTTAAATATAACTCTAAGCCGCAAATTTTCAAAAGGTCCTTTAGTCTCGTGGCAGAGTTTCATTACTTGAAGACTGGTGGCTTACAAATTTTCTATTGAATAAAAATCAATGTACATTTATTTGATCAATTGTTTATATATTTCTTATTTTAGACAACTAAACATTTAAAAGAATTATACACTAGAGTTCGATTCACACTTTCGTGTGTGTGGATGTTTTTTTCATTTATAATTTTGATATTATTATAAATATTTTAAATATATAATTTATATTTTAATATTATATAATTTGTAATTCTTTAATTTTATTGTTTATATTTATTATTATATTATTGATATATAGTGATTTTTTATATACATATTTCTTTTTTTATTTATTATTATTACATTTTCGAGTTCAATACAATAAATTCATAATCTAAAATAATCAAACAAAAAATTTTAATAAAAAATATTTTTTGAAAATATATAGCTGTATATATTAAAGTTTAACATATGTTAACAAATTTATTTTTGTATAAAAACATTATATAGCTTACAAATTTTATCCCGTAATGGTAAATACTAATTTATCATTTTAATTTATATAATACTTCTATTTTAATATAATATAGACTATAATTATAATTTTGTTCTTGGGCTAGACTTCAATATCTGATGTAAAAAAAAATGTAAAAACTCAAATTTTGACAGAAACACAAATTTAGAACCCATTAAAGTTAATGCAGGCAACAAAACCTTCTCTGAAACCAGTCTTGAACTGGCAAGGTACATTTTTTAGATATTTCATTCTACCTGTACCAGTAGTCTTCCTTCTGATCTCCCTCACACTCAAGTTGTCTACAAATATTTATGAACATATCAGACTTGAAAGAAATACACATGCACATACAAATTTCTCTTAGATTATTACAACTGTATTAAGTTATATGTGCTTCTAACCTAAAACCAATTGATGATAAGTGGATTGATCCATCTATCTTATATACTAGATAGAATCCCTTCCAACAACCGATGTGAGACCTTTGTCCCTAATACGCCCCCTCGAGATGATGGCTCTTTTGGCATCAATCTCGGAATGTTCGGGTAAGGATCGATGTGCCGATTTTTGGCTGGATCGATAAGGATCAGGTTGGATTGCGTGAATCGTGGGCTCTGATACTATATTAAGTTAGATGGGCTTTCAACCTAAAACCAATTGATGATGATAAGTGGATTGACACATCTATCTTATATACTAGATAGAATCCCTTCCAACAACCGATGTGTGACCTTTGTCCCTAATAAATTGCACAACTAACTGACTGTGTTTAGACATAAACGACAAGTCCTGATCTTTGAATTTATCAAGGCAATCCTCTGATGTTTTGAATAACGTGAGCATCACATTTGGGTTTCTTAAGAGCAGGGATTATGGATACAAGACCTGTTCTCTCTCAGGTAGTTATTATCTACGACATTCCTCTACTCTTCTCTATACCGATGTTTATTATCCTCAAACATTAGCTCTAAACGTTGTTGCTCTCCAAACGAAAGATTTGTGATTACGTTTGAAAATTCCTATGCTGTGATACATTTGAAGCTTGTCAGTTGTCATCCTCCTATGCTGTACCAGTACTGCCGCAAAGCCCATAAGGAGTAAGCCTGAAAGCAAGCAACACAGTCTGGCCCACGACCGAGCTGGTTCCTCGGGTTCCAAGAGATCTTATTCCATTAGACTATATACAATGGTTTCAACATCCCTATTATGGTCTTACTATCCTAATCTTATTCTAGCATATATAATCTGGGAGACATAAAAGCTTCAGTTAATTACCAATTTATCTTAAAGTGTGGGAAGCGAGATCCTCGAGAGATGGATTTTCATTAACTACAACCATGTGACTGATTCCATTATGCATATGATATCATTTAATAAATTATGTATCCAACAATACATTGACTGGAAAAATACATTGTTTCGAAAATAAAAAAATGAAGTATTACATTCAGATGGGTAACCTATGACGATTCAGAAAAAAACTGGACATCACTCCAGTATAGTTGTTGTTATGCAACACAAAAGAAGTGAAGATCACACCAGGATCGTGTTCTGGAACCCTTATTTGTGGGAACCCCGGTGAAACTGCGTCGAACGACCTGCTCACTACAACGGGTACTGGTATAGTTATGTTCTCATATTCAACACATGGCACCCACAAAATAATGAGATTTTAAAATATTCCCACGCCGAGAGCTTTGTACGAGATATACCATGTAACCTCTAATTCACAGAGAGTTTTTGATGTCACTACTCACTAGAGACCGGTATGTTTAGGAAAATACGTACTGGACATGGTATGTATCAAGATTCACGAGAAACATTAGTTATTATCTGTTTTGATAAGATTATACTAGTGTTAAGTGTCTCCAAAATAGCCCGTGTTTTTATAGCTTACTTGTTAGTCAAATTTCCATAATCGCAAACTTATTTCTTAGTGAATTTTAGGAACTATCAATCAATCGAGTATATTTGTTGTTATGCATCATGGTATAATGCCGTGTTCTAGAACCCTTATTCTTAGGGAATCTAGGTGAATCTGTGTCGTAAACCCGCTCAATACAACATGTACTGGTATAGTTATGCTCTGATATTCATCATGTGGCACCCATATTATCTTGAGATTTTTAAATATTCCGAAAGGTTTGTACGAGATCTACCATGTAAAACCTAATACACAGACGGTTTTTGATGTCACTAGCATTGTCGGATTTGGCCAGGCTCAATAAAACATTGACCTTAACTCCAATAGTTTTAGAGGTTTTTACATAAACATAGACCATCAAATTATGGAAAAACAAATTCATAAAAATTCTCAACAATTGTTTATATCTTTTAAAATCTCAGATGAAGCCTAGTCAGTAGAGACGTGTATGTTAAAGGTAATACGTAGTGGCCATGGGCCCATGGTATGTATGCTACAGATCAAGATTCACGAGAAACATTCGTTTATTTAGTTTGTTTTGATGAGATTGCTAATGTTAAGTGTCTCCAAATTAAAACAATACGTTTTCTTTCTTATGGCTTCACCAATCTGGATGATACGGGGTGATAAATCTGGGACACTGAACCTAGTATCTTACCAACAAAAGGTCGTCTTCTTATAGTCCCACAACTATATATACGTACACATGGCCGGCTCGAAAAGTTATGGGACCTAAAATGGTTTTTTTAACGATTTCACCTAATTTTTCTTTTTAAAAAAAAAAAATACAATAACGTCATTTGAAATTTAACTTCCTTGAAAACCAGATTACAAAGATAAATCGATTTCGTTTAAGTGTGTTTATTAACACGCTTAAATTATTCGTTGAACGTCACATAAAAGTAAAACGTAAAAAAACATAAGGATTACAACTTAAGCAAAAAAAAAAAAACCATAAGGATTACCATGCATAAAAGAGTAGATCAGACTCATAAAAGACTTGGAACATAGTTTCACTCGATAGCTTGCCTAGACGGAAACATTTCACGATGTATAGCACAAGAGAACTTGACGCACATCACTGGCTCTTTCTGGTGCTCCGCGCTTATTATGCTAATTCTAACCAAATATGTCTTATTTCCCATCTAAAGTAATTAAAAAAAAAAAAACACGATATCGTTAGAATTTTTCGATCCGAAATGCACCAATTATAGAATTTTTCTCAGACTAGTTGTTAATGTAAAGAAAAACTTACTACATCTAGTTCTTCTTTAGTGAATAAGTTAGGTACAGTAAACTCAATGGGGCCAGGTGCAACAGGGCATGCCACTAGATCACATAAGGAGTAGCTTCTTCTATCTGATATTTTTGGTGCAACGATGATACTTACAGTTGATCCATCAGAGATCTCAATGCCTGTTCACACCAATATTGAGAATAATACTAGAAAAGTTAACTTTTTTTATATATAAAAGGGGACGGAAGAGTAAACTTTAAAACCAAATAGGGAATTATTTACTTGAATCACCGATTATAGTAATGTTTCCATTAGTGCTACTCCCAACCGAGGGTTCTGGAGAGATCGTCAGAGTCTTGACCTCAACGGGAGAGTTACGATCGGCTAGGCAAAAAAAAAGTTCATACCAACATCTTACTACCATTATTTTCTTCTTTAACTTCCAAGAATCAAAGTAAGTTCATTTATCTTTTCATCAAAAAAAAAGAATTAGCATTAAACGCTACTTACGATTGCATTTTCTGAATTTGGTTGCCCCCAAAGCAGCAGGTGAAAAAAGGAGTGATACAATGAGAAGAAGAAGAAGCAAAGGCTGGGCCTGGAACATCGCCATGTATATTAATTACCTCTCAATGATCCTCAGTAGCTCGAAATTATATTTTTGCAGTAAGTATTATGTCTATGCATACCTACCTACCTGCGCCTTCTACTTATAGTCGGTTGATTATCAGATTTTGCTACTCAAAATATTATCCGCATATTGTTACAATAATAAATCTTCCACGATATAGGCGAGAACCTTAAAAATATATTTCCCTATAAAACAATGTCCTAAATTAAAACATCTCTTACTCATGTGTTTCTAACTTTATTATTATATTTTATTATATTTTTTGGATTTGTTTATCAATCCATATCACTTCAAATTTAAGTAACTAAATAGACAAAAGGACATGTATATAATTTTTAGATTGATGATTAAATTTCTATAATTCTTCATGGTCAGTGATATTATTATATTAATATATCATATATGTTTATGTAATCTAGCATTTAAAATATTTATTTGTAGTATTAGGACAATCTTATATAATTTGGTGGAAATGTATATATATATATAGTTGTAATATTATCGATTTATAGTAACATTGATCAAAAAAATTGTTGGTTTGATCTCATTAGACAAATAGAGACATTCAACATAACATCTATTTAATTTAAGTTTCCAGCACAACCATCAAAACATGTCTTTGGACATAATATAATTGCTATATTTACACAAACCTTTTTGTGATTTATCATTGTCAATTGTATGCTTGGATCTTTAATAAGTCCTCAAAACATTAAATTTTAAAATTTTCTTCTCTCCAACAAACCCTCAACCCCACAAATTTTAAAGATTTTAATAGTAAAACTACAACAGTTTGATTACACTTTCTAAACCCTCCTAAAACAGCTTATATATAATTGTATTTTAATTTCATTAATTTTGTAAAACTTTAATCTTTTAAATGTATTTCTACCAAAATAATATTTTATTATTACTGATACATAAAATACAGAACTAAAGTAAAAATGTACCAACAAATATCTAACAAAACATAATGTAATATGTAAAATGTTAAAGATCTTCATTTTGAGCATACTCCATCGCATATTATATATTATATATATTTATTAATTTCATTCATGCATGTTATATCTAGTGTTTTCAAGTCATATATAGTTTGGTGGGCAAGCAAATTTTCAGCTATTTTGAAATAGTAAATAGCTTTTATTTAAATATGGATACATAGCGGTTGTTTGTAATAAATCGGTATGTATTGTTGGATGTCCCAAATTCTTTATATGGAAAAACTAAATATGTTTAAGATATTATTGCCTATTTTTAATTCAGTTAAATGATTATTTCATATAGTTAAGGTAATTATTGTAATTTCTATCATTGGCTGTTTTCATATTATGAAGTAATAATAATTAATCCTAATTATTCTTCTGATTTATAATCTAATTTTTATTAATAAAAAAAAAAAATTTCATTTACAAATCTAATAAATTAAATGGAAGAATTTAAGTATAGAAGCTTGCTATGGTCATGTTTGCCACTCTGGTCAACAGTTTCTTGCCTGAATCGTTGAATGGCACATCATTCTTTTATTTTTTGGGGAGCCTTCTGTTTTTTCAGTCTCTCCTCTAAAAGACAAAAGTTTGATTCTTCTTCCTTATTCGAATGTCTGTTTTGGAGACAAAAGAACTAGCGGAGGGGGATATCCACGACACAATTGTCGTTGAACTTAGATGCTAATGAAATGATTAGCAGAGACGATGAGGGTTCGAGTCTAATCCGAAACTTTTTAACTGATTTTGCAGGAACTTCGGACAATATAAAGAGAAGAGATGGAGTCACTGGGATATCTATATATTGGGAAAGTATTTGAGAGCAGGGAGTCATTCAAGGTCCACATGACACTCTATGCCATAACACACAAGTTTCGTTTCCTAACGAAAAAATCAGAGGCCAGCAAAATGTTACTCCAGTGCAGAGGAGAAATGTGTGCCTGGAGAGTATATGCCGCGAAAATGACCAGGTCAAAGAGCTTTCAGATAATGACCTTGAATCTGATACATACCTGCTCATTGGGGGAGAGATGGGAATTCCGCAACCATGCAAATGCTAAGTTTGTGGGAGAAATGATAAAACATAGGTATGGACCTGCTGCAAAAGGGGGACCAAGACCAGGAGCAATTAGGGACATAATAAGACACGACCACAATGTCCCTATTTCTTACTGGAAAGCTTGGAGATCGAGGGAGATAGTTGTTAGCGAAGGTACGGGGAATGATGCGCGATCATTCCAGACCCTCCCTTTATACCTGCAGATGGTGTTGACAACAAACCCGAGATCAGTTGTGGCACTGGAAACCACCCCAGGAGCAGAAGGTGCACAATGATTCAAATATGTCTTTTTGTCGTACGCAGCAAGCATCGAAGGTTACAGTTACATGAGAAAGGTTGTCACCATTGATGGCACACACCTTAAGGGAAAGTATTCAGGGTGTCTTTTAACTGCAAGTGCTCAGGACAAGAACTACCAGATTTTTTCAATAGGGTTTGGGATAGTAGATAGTGAGAATGATGAGGCTTGGACTTGGTTCTTCCGCAAACTTTCGCAGGTTGTACCTGATTCGGAGGCGCTAGTGTTTGTATCGGATCGGCACCGTGCAATCTACTCAGGAATCAGAAGGGTGAGTTATATTTAAATACTTTCACGCATATTCTGATTGTTAGCGGCCAACGTGCTGGCGTATTAACGGTTAATAGTCGTAGTGATCGTTAATTAGTATATTAGATATAGTAGTGAAATAAGGTTTAACGAGCAATACTGATCTTAATGTCCGACGTAACTGCAAGTATATCCAATGGCACAGCACTGTGCTTGTATTCTTCATCTCTAGAGGAATGTCCAGACTATTTTCAAGAAAAAGCACTTACTCTATCTGATTGGGCGAGCACCTAGGACATACAAGTTGGAGGACTTCTATGTCCACTTCAACGAAATAAAGTCAGTGGACATTGCTTACGCAAACTATCTTATTAGGGTTGGACTAGAGCACTGGAGTAGGGTGCACTTCGAGGGTGAAAGGTACAATGTCATGACTAGCAACCTAGCTTAGTCACTTAATGCTTCATTGGCATAAGCAAGAGGGTATCCTATAGTAGCTCTTTTGGAGTACATTAGGACAATGTTAATGGGTTGGTTTTCCACCAGACGTGCGGCCGCTAACGCCAATGTTAGCGAGGTAACTCCAAAGGTAACAGCTATGTTATCGCGTAACTTTAATTTTGCATCAGGTGCCACTGTGCGTCATATCATCAACGCGGAGTTCGAAATTCGCGATAATTTGGGAGTGTACAATAGGGTTAATCTTGAAAGGAAGACTTGATCTTGCAAGGAATTTGATAAGATCCGTATTCCGTGTGTCCACGCTGTCGCCGCTGCTGTCAATAGAAACCATAAATTCAAGACTTTATTAGCTGAGGAATACACCAACCTCTACTGGGCTAAAGCATACGCATGAAGCATAAACCCGGTGAACATCAACATGATCAGTGCAACTGAGTCACCAAGTATCAACCTGCTGCCACCGACCACACAGAGGGCAGCTGGAAGGCCTAGGAAAAGCAGGATTCACTCAGCCGGAGTGATCAGGGTAATATTTCTTGCTTTCCTTGATCAACTTAACACAAAAATGCATTTATTGTTGTTGTTAACCGTTAATGGATAACTTGACAGCAAACTGGTGCGTATAAACGAATGAGGACTTGTATCAGATGCGGGGGTGCGGATCACAACCGCGCCACCTGTAAAACACCTATCTAGAAGGGAGGCTAATTATTCGGGGGAGGTGAAATGGAAGGAGTGTTTGTTTTTGAAGGTTTGATCTGGGGCGACCTTTTGCTTTTGGATATGTAATATGATACTACTGTTCCCCAAAGCTCTTCCTTATTGACAAAATCTGTAATGTACGATTAGTGAAAAGAGTGTATTGCCCTCCATTGTAATGTCCGGAAACTAAACTGATTGACATTAATGAAGTAGTTAACCGGTAACAATATTTGTTTACATTTAAAACTTTGAAAAATGCATATTACAGGTGATATAGTAGGAGTAACATATTTAGATAACAAATGTCTGTTTATAAATGCCAGGGGTTATGTAAATTTACTGGTGATATATTGTTACGAAATAATAGTTAACGAGACAAATATACTACGTAGATGGCATAACTATTATTAGACCTAGTTATCTCGTTTAACATATACGGAGGCAGTTAACGTTTAAGTGAAACAAAGTAGTTAAAAATTTTTAGTAAACAAATGTGATCCGGGATCAGCGGTAGGGTTTAAAAATTTAAAGATGAAAACATTGTCTTAACAGTTAAAATAAAATATAGCTTAAGTATGAGAGGGATTTTTAGGAGGCCTGGATAGGAAACAAAGGAACTTAACAGCCAGCTGTTTGGCATCATCCGGAAGCACACGCGGGGTAATAGCTTTGGCACCTTCCACACCAACCTGGCAATGACATCAATAAAAAGACAAGTCATAGCCACAGCATAGGTTGCTGTTTCTGATTGAGGGATGCCTCTGGGCCTCGTGATAGTGAATGCATTGGTGCTCTCATTACTTGCTTCGGGATTCCAACCTCTGATCATATATGGCATCATATTAGCAATCAGGTTGAGCTATTTTTTTAGCACACCATCGGTCTTCATAGCGATGTGGCAATCCATGACTTGAAGAACGCGAGCCTTAATGTCAACAACCACAGCTACCCAGTGTTTCTGATCAATGTTGAACGGGAAGTATAGTCGGTCAGCTGGGTTCTCACGTAGTTTCACCAGAACAGCATCATTGAACTTGAATCTAATCCTATCTTTGACAGCCGTTTTGACAAACCTTCCGTAATGACGCATCAAAGAAGCTGGAAGGCTAGTGTCGTAGACCTTGAGTGAGTTATAAGGAGTCTCGTGCTCGTCAGACAGGTAACGCATCAACGCATCCATAGTCTGATACGAAGTAGAAAGATCGTTAGATAGTGCATAAAAGTATAATGTTCATAAAGTACAGCTAAATCTAATTACCTGGGACGAAATATGAGAAGACCGCCACGCTATATCAAGAAACTCATTGGCGGTAAGGGCCGTAAGGCCATCTATATGGACAAATATTTTATGACATAGTTAATGAGTAAGTTAGATAGTGACACTCCACTGGGTATGTAACGGTAAACTTAAAATGTGACTGTAAATAATAATTGACTACTTACCCAAGACGCAATACATTCCTCTGAAGGTCTTCAAAAAATTTGGCGATGTTGGGTAGGATGCGGAAACACGCATTGACTTTGGGGTCTAACTGGAAGTCTTGGTAAGCTGTTGGTGCTACCCTTGAACGCTTGCTTCTACGAGTATCGGGGTTGTCTTTGTTTTCTAGATCGGAGGGGAGAACATATCCCAACGGTTTTGGATCAAGAAGCAGAAGAGCGGTTTCTTCTTGGATTAGGCCTATCAAGAAAGAAGGTGCTTCTATCCTAGACTGTGTGTATGGAAGGATAAACAAATTATTATAGGGTTAACAGTAGGTGCTTTTATAAATTTAAGGGAAAATACCGGGTTCGGTGCCGCCAAGTTGTTGCCGCTTGAGGTTTCCAGAAGACGATTCGAAGGTGAGACATTGTCGTCTTCCTGCTATATGACAAGTTTTAGAAATTGTAAGTATTCATGTTAAGTTTAACGGATACAATAATCTTTAACAGCCAAGACATTTATTTACTGTTAATAGTATAAATAGTACTAGTAACCTCGTGAGGTAGTATCTCTGTCCTCTCATTGTCTGGAGGGAGTTGTGCTGCTGAGTCCGGTAAAACGACGTGTTTGTGTTCAGTAGACTGATTGCAAGTAGAAGAAATGAAATGTTAGTGTAATTACGGGAAAAAAGTCATTAGTAGTTGAACAAAAATCTTACCTCCTCATTGTTAGAGGATGCCTGAATCTCATCTAGGACCCGCCTAACTGGGTCGTCCTCCTTAGGCTCCGAAGCTTTGGAAGAGGTTTCGTGATCATCTCCAGCATGAGATGCATCCACATTGTCCTTATCCTTATTCGTGGTGCGATTTGGTAAATCGCTTGGTGGGATGTCATGTTCAGTTGGAATTGATGAGGTAGACTTTCCCAAAAACTCAATGATGGCCCTCATGACTCCCTTCTCCAATGATTGCATGTAGTTGATAACAACATTTTTTAGTCTACCCTCAACTCCCACAAGACTAGCGGCAACCTTCTTCTCAACAGCGTCAGCTATTTTATACTTCATACCAATCATGTCGCCACGCAATTTCTCTGAAATTAAATTAGCTAGAGGTTCAATCATGGCTGGACCAATACCCGATGACTCAGATATCCCCCCCAAATTTGCTTTGTCATGTCTATCCTTGGCCTCCTTTTCTCTTTGCTTGGAAATATTTGGTCTTGATAGGTCACAAGAGGAAATACCACCACAGAACATCTCATTGTTGAAAACGAACCCATCGTTAATGAGCTTAACAAACGTGTCAACGGCAGGGTCATCGCATTCATCAACCCAACTAAAGTCCTGCTCAGGAAGCCAATCCTCCTCTAGGGCATCAAGAATGGATTTAACTTGCACCTGGAAAAACGCGTTAAAAGAGCCGGTGGTGGTTAACTTTAATATTACCCGGTAATGACCTACTTAACTATAAAATATTAAACAAGATCAATATGCATGTCATCTATCAATTAGATAAAAAGTAGAAATAACACAGACAGTTTCGGTTAAGAATAGTTTTGTTATGTAATGCCGATGATAGGTATAGTGAAACAAAATCAGGCATGGGATTAAGGAACATGTATTTAGTCTAATAGATGTTACCTATTTGGTTACTAACTATGAATGCCAGTAACAGTTAATATATATGTTAACAGATAAAAATGACAAAGAAGGATGTCAAACCTGGCATTCCGCGTTGAGGTCCCTGGCGTTTTTGGGATTAACAATCCATCTTAGAGTGGAGTTAACCTTGTTCAAACTGCGAGAAGCATCGCCAACTACTAGATCCTCCTCCGCCGGGTTCTCACTCTCACTATTAGACTCAACTACAACAACATGGGCATTGGTGATGACTTCTTCTTTCAAAGCAGGAACAACAGCAATCATGACAAGTTGAATAGCTTCCGCATAACCTCTTAATGCGAAAGAGTCTTGAGCGAGGGCAACTGCATCCTTCTAAGTAAAGTTGATGTTACAAGTTCAAAAGAAATCCGCCCCCATGGATATGCAATAAAATCATCAATATCTCTAATTAACTCGACATGTTCTGGAACAATTTCCGGAGTGTGAGAAGATGGAAGTAGAACCGAAAGCCGTAATTGCTAGACAGGCAAATTTGATCCTGGTGTTCATATCCTTCACCTTGTGGGTCTTGAGCATCTCGATAACAGTATCCACATAACACGATTTAAGAGAGCCAAACAAGTCGTTCCAATACAATTTCTCTTTGAGAGGATTCTTTCTTTTTTCCGTGTCTGAGTAGGAATCCGGTTGCAATTGAGACCAGTAACAATAGCGAACTCCCTAAGAGAAATTCTGATTGGTCTTCCGTCGAAAATCAACCATATCTCGTACTTCTTCTTCTTCTTCTTCAGCATCCTCACCAAAATGAAATGACCAAAAGCACCAGAAAAAGGTGGATTCTCGTCTAAAGCTAGAACTTTGGAGAACTGAGAATTTTTGAAGAACTCCATCTCTTCCTCGTCTAAGGATTCAATTAGCAACTCTGTTCTCCGAGTCCTGTGATACGAGTTGACTCATTCACCGATTGGTTCATCACCACAGGAAAAAATACGGAGAAGAAGTATCAGATCTTCCATCGAACACTCGGAAAAGAACAAAGGAATTAACGGTTGTTCAAGAATTAGATTTACAGTTTCTTTTGTACAATTGAAAAGGGAAACTGAAAAATCAGTTTCGTGTTGGAACTAAAAGAAATGAAAAAAATAAAATTCAAATTTATTTTTAAATTCGAAAGTGGACGGTTGAAACATAAATATGGTTTGTGGTTAAAAAGGAAGTTGCCTGCTACAACCGCAGGCGTGGGACTACGGACACAGGACTATGGACTATGGCCGAGAAATAAGGAAAGTCAATTTGGTCTTTATATTTGATTTAGTCACATCGTGTGTATTTCGCTAATTATGAATTCTAAAACGATATCTCAGCAAATAATCTCTTGTTTTAATCTTGTTTGTCTTTATCCAATTTTTCATATGATTTTTAATACATACATTCTCCACAGACCGAGCCTTAAAACTAGGGAAACAAAACAAATTTTAATGACAACCCCGAGAGAAACACATCACCAACTAGATCATAATCCAAAACTCAAAAGAAGAACACAAATCAGCCCAAGAGCAATACAAACAAACCATACAATACCAATCGAAGATCCGATAAATATTGAAGATGCCCCCGGGCCAACCACCAGTAAAGAGAAATGGCGCAGTCAGCTCAAGCGACAGTAGACGTTTTGATAAAGAGTGGTCTCAAAGTATTCAGCTTTTTTCTGTGCTAGCCAATGTAAAGCCAAGAGTGACAAGCAAAGGTAGAAGTCCTGTCGAACGATGGCGAAGAGAATCAAACAACCTCTCGACTTCTGCTTCCCTAAGCGATCCCAAGAAGATGAGTTTCACCAAGTGCCAGAGAGTAGGCATAAACACCGACCACATATCTTGTCGTTTCTGTGTCGTCAGGACAACTGGCGTAAGGTCATAAAGACCATTTTCAGTTAGATAATTTAGGTAGAATTTTCCTTTGCTTGCATGTTTCAGACCAAAGCCCAATAAATTCTTTTTGTTAGTTTCGATTGTCGAATACATGGTTCCAAGGTTTTGGATTTATGGATTAATAAATTTGAGTCAACAATCACTTTCGATGAACTATACTTTGCAAAGGAATAAAAGAAATGCTTGTTAAAAATGTAGACTGATATTCAACAAGGTTCAAAAATTTTATAAGCAAAAGGAAACAAAAACCACAAAACATGATAAATGCAAACTTTTACTTCTTCCTCAGATTGTTTAGGCTGATGAAGCTGCTGCGGACTTGTTCCTAGGCTTCGCTTCAGTACCTAATGTAACAAATAAAATGTAAAAACCCCATTTTAGACTGTAACACAACTTAAAAACCAATCAAAGTCAATCCAACACAGTAATACCTTCTCTGAAACCAGTCTTGAACCGGCGAGGAACATTTTTGAGATATCTCATCCTACCGGTACCAGTTGTCTTCCTCCTGATCGCCTTCACACTCCAGTTGTCTATTAAGATTTAGGAAACATATCAGACACAAATTAACATACATTTGTCTAAATTCAAACGATTATTACAATTACATAACAAACCAATTGTGTCTAGACATAAAACGAAAACATATATATAGGCGATAATTACAACTACACGACACTTGTTCAAGTAATCCATCCAAAAAGCAATGGATTGATAAATCATGTGAGAACACTAAAGAGCAAGAACTAAGCAAAATGGGGGTCTTACAGGTCCTCTTGCGAGCGGCAGGGTAAGCGCAGGCGGAGCAGCGACTCTTCTGGATGTGAAAGCTACGACGACCACATCTCACACACAGAGTGTGACTCTTGTTCCTCCTCTTACCGAAACTCCCTGTTCCCTTTGTCTGAAATACTCAAATAACCAAAATTTAATCAATGGTGAATTTTAGACCGTAAATTAAGGAGGTAGGATAGAGAGATCACCATTGTTGCTGCAGCCCTCCCTGGGATGCCAATTTCGTTTTAAGATAGCCAATTTATATGAAGGTTGATTACTGATTCTAGGGTTCATCTAATATACTGGGCCTCTCTTTTTATTTTGACGTAAATAGGCTCCACTGCAGTTTTAATTGCTTATATATACCCATTAGCAAGGTTCAACAAAAAAAATAATAATTTGAGAACACATTAGATTCTCTCCTTTTATTTTCGAAAACATAATATATATATATATATATATATATATATATATATATATATATATATATTATTTTTGATAAAGGGCTTAAAACATAATAATATATCTAAGAGAAATATCAACTACAACTAATTTCATCATTTTTGTTTTGTTTATTTCATTAGTAGATTGTGATGTGTTTTTTATGTATGGATATGTGTTTTTTGTCTGTAAATCTGTTTCAGTTCTCAAAATAGCTTATTGTATGTTGTGTCTACAAAAAAGCCATCTAAAAACCTAGCCAAAACCATATTTGAACAACTGACAATCTCTCAGCATAATAAGTAAACTGATGAAATATAAATACCTAGCATTGTCAAAATGATACTGACACTAGCAATGACCATTCACCAAAACCAATCGACTATATAGCAGATCGAAGTTAAATAATCAACTCTTTTTCTTTTAAATAATCAACTTATATAACAGGGAAATACACACAACCAATATAGTCGTAAGCTAAGCCACAATATCAACCTAACATACCAAGAACATAATTGGGTAACTCAAAGATCTTAAAGATGGCAATTCTCTTTTTTTGAGCAAACAGAGAAATGGGGGTATTTTAATCGGCTAAAACTTTTATAAACACAAGTCAAGAATTCCAAATTGTTAAAACAAATAACAAACCGTTGACAGAAAATGGGAATAACTTCTTCTTTTGTCAATAATGGCACAAGTATTAGTCGTTATTTGCCTCTACAAGAAACACTAATTTCAAACCAAGCTTTCTAAGTGTTTATTATAGAATTGATGTAAACTTGTATTATGAAGTTACCAACATTTGTGTTGAGGATGGTATTCAAAGCATCACTTTCTTGTTGGAATTATGAAAACCCATGTCCAACTATATCTTCTCATATTAGTACGATATTGTCCACTTTGGGCCTAATAGGCAAGTCCGCATGGATTTACTTTTGGTTTCCTTTTCAAAAGGTCTTGTACTATTAAAGTTAGACTTCTCTTTATATATTAGACACTCCTTGTCTAATTCTCCAATGTGAGACTTTATTTATTATCTCACACTTCTAACGCAGCAGCGATCACAAAAAGGATCCACCTAGATGTTTTCCATGTCGATTGTTGGTTATCTCACCCGAGAGAGTTCGAGATAACACTCTCCATGGAAATTTTATACTCTTTGGAGTTGTATCGACTTTGCTAGATCAGGCTGAGAGATCAAAGGAGGTTGAGTATCACGTACCGATTATGAAGCCATAGTGTTAAGATTATACTCTGACAAGTTAAGTCATGGTAGTTCATTTGTCTTGTGTTAGTCTTCTTAACAATGATTACTTTGCCATGTACTTTTCTTTAAATCTTTATTGGATCCCGACCAAAATCCAGATATTGAACTATATTTCTCGTGGCATAGTTCCATAGGCAGTTGAAAACATTTATATATAATATATTGACATAGAATAAGCTACTGTTTTTAGGCCTGTGGTCGTTTTCATGCTGGATTAGTTTCCCTACATTAGCTAAATTACCCAATAGATGCATCAATAAGCGAAGTATTAGAGCAACATTATTGGTTGTTCTTATTTTATAGTCCTTAGGTTATTTTATTATTATAGTTATGTTAAGAAATTAAGTTAAGGACAATCCTAAAAATGTAGATTATTGGATGGACTTTTGTTGGTTCTTATGAATATTGAGCAAAAAATACCAAAAATAAATATAAATAGATAAAAGGTTAACACTCACCTGCAATGGTGTTTCTCCCCCATTGTCTTCTGAGACACTCAAACGGATTCAATCAAACTAACTCACTCATAATCATCACATCAATCACGGTTTTGGATCTATACTAGTCAAAGATGGTAGTAGCCAGTCCGGATCGAAGTAAAGAAACTCTCACCATGTACTCGGTGGTGATGAAGGGGTCGTTAACAACGACGAGCTCAACATTGTTCCAGATCGAAGTAAAGAAATTAACTCATTCATAACACTAAAGAGATTCACAACAGCATATCAGAACGCCTCAAACAAAAAATTTACTTCACACAGGAAGACTTTCACAGAGAAGAACAAGTGGATCTCAAATTACAACAAACGGATTATTTAAAACGCAAACCCTACAATCACAAACGACATTCTTTTCATCACAACAAAAACCAATAAGACCCAGATGATAACAACGACATAATCTCAAAGCTGATGAGGAAGACATACTTTTTCTGTTGAATCGGTGAAGGATCGAGCTTTCGGTGAGACGGCAAAACGACATCACCCTACACCACTTTCACACCCAATCGCATTCAGTCAGCTGGCACTAAGGACCATCGGCAAAACTTCTTAATTAAGGACAAATGACTACCGTTTCTTTGTATTTTAAGCCTTTTTGATTTAATTTTTGGTCCAATATTCCTTAGAAATCAGGCTAAGGACGCCAATAATGTTGGTCTTAAGAGACTGAATAGATGTCAATTGATACAGAAAATTGTTTATATATTTATATATCTATCTATCTAGGCAAAATATACTCTAAGAAAATGCACTGCCTCCGTACAACTTAACTGCAAAATATAGATATATACTGATGCGGATAGACATTGCTAGTACAAGAACTCGACGTCATTTAAGGAGAACTGTTAATCTGTACTGAACAATAGAACGATATCTTTTACCGAAAGAAAGAAAAAAAAACAATAGAACGTTATAATCGAAAAAGATAAATCATTAGAGAGTATACAGGGAAAAGTAATCATTGTTTTTTTTTTTTTGGTAAAAGAAAAGTAATCATTGTTAAGAAGACTTAACACAAGATCAACGGAATCCAAGCCATGAATAAGAGATTGTGAAGTTCACTAGCCTTGATTCAACAAAAAGCAAGTGAACTTCTTGCTCCATTTTTAATATTCATATCCATTGAAAAAGACAGACAAAGAAACAATGATAGATAGAATAGAACAAAACAAAACAAAACAAAGGGTTTCAACATACGTCTGAAGAAGCCCACATGTATGGAGGCACAAACTAGTCTCAACATTTGTCAAATTTTTTTGCTCAAAGTTGTACGCAAGCAATTTTGCTTCTCTTCCAGAATTTACTAAAACTAATAGCAATCCTTTACAATTTATCGCAGACACTAGCCAAATCTTATCGATACCGACAGCTAGTGAAGATTTCAAGAATGCCACACGAGAGAGTGCAGATCTTGCTCCAAGATTTGATACTACCAACACCACCACCAACCTTCTCGTTATGTTGGGCAGACCAGACGATGATATCATCAGACAGGGCGTCAACCCCCACTGTACATAGACCTCCACCTCCCAACCCCTCTATAACTCGAGGAAATGCTATACCACAATTAGTCGGACCTGGGCAGTATTCGAATGTCTCTGACACCAAATCAAATCTCAAAAACTTATCAGTTACGTTTACCTTATCATCATAGACCTGCCAGTAGATATTTTCACCAACCAGCGTTCCAGGAATTCTCCGGTTCATGACTATTGAAGTTAAACTTGATTTTGGGCTTTGCTTAATTATGGGTTCCAATAATCTTATTGGACTAAACCCAAAGTTAAGAAAATTCTAGAATCTTTCTAGAAAAATCATCACCTCCTCAAGTAGAATAATATCTAGATATTGTAGTAGAAAAATCTAGAGAATAAAAATAAAAATCTAAGAAGTAAGGAGGTTATAGTAGAATAATCTAGATATTTGTAAGGTAG